GGACGTTGAATTCGTGTTGCCGTCAATGACTCCATAAGCCATGTTCCCCAGTCCCAGCACGTCCACTCCCTTCTCCGTAAAGGACATCTTAAACCTGGAGCAGGCCCACAGCGTCCTGGCGTCTCAACTGGACGCGTGCGCCGCATCTTCCTCTTCATCCTCGTCCTCTTCCTCCTCATGCATGATGCAGGCTCAGCTGAAGCACGAATCTCTGCGGGACATGGCGCTTTTTGGGGAAGATCTCAACGAGGCCAAGGGAAGCGGCTGCAGAGGAGCTCCAGCGCTCAACTTTACCACCGCCTTTTATGGGAAATCTGTCCTGGACATAGATCTGGAGAAGGACATGACCACGGACGGGTATGAAGAGAAAATCACAAAAGGTCAGATATAAAATTATCAGTAGGCAATGGGCTTCTAACCTGTGTGTAAAGTTAAAACTGGTGCTAAATTTCATAGAACAATTGCAAGTTGTACTAAAGCAGATATAGAGCTTTTATTGTTAAAAAATAATAATAATAAAAATAAACGTTGCTCTATTATAGGTTCAAAACCCGCAAAAGATATGCTACAGAACAATTGGCACTTGAATGAATGAATGTATTTTCCAATGTCTGTGGAGTGGCATAGGCCTCAATAAAATGATGAACTTATCAGGCTGATACCTATTCCAGTCTACTGGTTTATTCAATCATTACTTACCACATGAAATTGTGATATTAATTATAATTTTAAAAGTAAAATAAAAAAAGAGATCAATTGGAAAGGCGGCTGCATGTGCAAATCTCTAACAGACAATTGTATAATTACTGACAATGAGGTCTTACAGCAAAATATTTAGTATAATTGATCATTCCCAAAATAGGCTCTTTTATTTCTTACAATTGAAATTATATATATATATATATATATATATATATATATATATATATATATATATATATATATATATATATATATATATATATATATATTTTTTTATTTTTTTTTACGTATTTTACAATGGAGTAAATGTATGTATCGACTATTAGAAATAACACAGAAAAATGAAAAGACATTTGAAGAAATAGAATTTTTGAGAAACTTTAAATAGGCCATTCATTGATTTAATTCAAGGCAGTATCAGTAGACATTTCTATTGGTTTCGGGAGCACTTTTATGTGGAAGCGATGGATTAAGATTGTTATAGTGTATTAAGAACAGGGATAAACAAATATCGATCATTTAAATATGATTCTTATTAAGAATAATTTATGGAAACTCGTGCGTAATTCTTGCTTAATGTCTCTAATGCTCATAAGGAAAACCGAGAGAGAGTTAAAAAAAAAATCATAATACTTTTCATTCTATTATTTGGTCTCCACAGAGGATTTCGGAGCAGATTCCTCCGACGTCCTAAAGCCAGATGATCAGGAGCGGCCTCTAAAACCTCGGAGGCGCAGAAAACCCCGTGTGCTTTTCTCCCAGGCGCAGGTGCATGAGCTGGAACGGCGCTTCCGCCAGCAGCGCTATTTGTCGGCCCCAGAGAGGGACCACCTGGCAGGAGTGCTCAAGCTCACTCCGACACAAGTCAAGATCTGGTTCCAGAACCGACGTTACAAGTGTAAGCGGCAGCGGCAGGACCAGAGCCTGGAGATGGTGTCCCTGCCGCCGCCCAGGAGAGTCTCGGTCCCGGTACTGGTGCGCGATGGAAAGCCGTGCCTTGCTGCGGACTCTGCGGCCTATAATCCCTCCTACTTTCCCTACAACAACTACCCCACTTTCACCAATTACACGAGCCCTGGGTGCAACACGAACTACACCTGTAATTACCCTGCATCCAGCGCGCAAACTGTGCAGGGCTCGTCCAGCAGCAGCTACATGAACTTCGGAGAGCTGGCTCCAGTTCAGAGCTTCTCCTCCAGCGGCGTGTCCTCTCTGCACGGCATCAGGACGTGGTGAGGAAGCGCATTGGGCCATAGATCCATTTACAGAGGACTGCATGCGTTTGGAAAAGTGTCCACGCGAGGCTTTATTAAGTTTGACTAGACTATTATTTATTTACTCGAACTTCTGTTTTGCTAGCACGTTTTACTGGTTTGTGGCACTGAAATATATAACGTAGAATAAGATATTTTAGCTTGGAAAATATATTCAGAGCTAACACTTGAGCCCAACTTTAATCATTGTCCAAGGTTTACCAAGGTTTATTAACTTTTGAGTCTTTTTTGTCCAACAGAAAAATCCGATGTTATAACATAAAATGCACTTCTGAAACATTGACATGGTTTCATCTCCAATGTCATGGTTGCAACGGTCAGTATTTCCGCCCTTAGTTAACAATGGTATTATTGATACTACAGCAATTAAAGGTATTAAACCATTTAGTGCACTAAATGGTTTAATACTTTGAATGTATGTCTATACAATCTGTAAAAAGTCATGTGTGTTTGATAGATGCTGAAGTGGTCATTAAGAAACGTCCTTCACTCTGCTTAAACAGGGTGAAAGGTTGTTCAAAGTTTACATGTTTTTACGATCTACTGTCGGGAACTCGGAGTTTAGCGCTCAGGACAGAACCAGCAGCCAGTCATGACCTTGACCTATAATGTTTTAGGTTTATGTCACTGGAAAATACAATTGATGCAATTATTACTGAAATGAATGCATCTTATTTGATTGATTACTGAAAGGAATTTGTTTTGTGGAATAAATTGGACGGGGCTATTTTGAATTTTTAGGACATTTATCTGCTATCATCTATTACGATTTTAAACAAAAAATATATATATACTAAAACAGTATCTAAAAATACAAAATCTACTAATGATAACCAACAGCTTTAAAAAGCCCTGCCTTTATGGTGCAGATTTGCAACAGGATTTCAATCTACTCTGGGCAGAACGCAAACCCTTCTTGGACACTGCCACTGTGTCAAATGAAAGAATAGTGCAATTTGTTTGCCCAAGAGGCAGAGGCTGAGTTTAAGTGCACAGTTATACAAACTGGCTCTGCCCAACAGCCTCCACTTTATATGAGTAAGAGATTCTTAGGCATCTCTCCACTGACACTTGTCCTCTACTCAGGCAATACACAAAAGTCCCAAACAAAAATAAACTCAGGACATACTCAGAGATTGTGCCACAAAAGCTCATGTTTATTGAAAATTAATACAGTAGAAACCTGTGTATAATAATGTATATTTTAAATATTTCAAATAATGGCAATGCCAGGCAATTGTCATGTGAAGAGCAAGGTCATGTAGCTCCTCTGGCCACCCTCTCCTCTGAGGTGTTGAAAAGGCAACGTCAGATAACAAAGCCATACAAACTAAAAATATCCTCCCTCTGCAATGGAGCAGGAGGCGGGAAACCGGTCAGAATAATCTGCTTTTCCGGGTCTTATCTGAAGAAAGACAGGGATGCATGCGGCTCTATCTGTGCCAGGGCGACCAGGGCGACCAGGGCCACTGGTTTTATGCTCGGCAGCAGAGTGGAGACCAAACCAATAAGTCAAATTACCATGTTTGCTCAGCAAAGCAACTTGTCTCCAAGGGCACAAATTGGTGAAGAAAATTATTATACTTTTCAAATAGTTGAGTTGACAATTAAAATTTTTAGAAGAAACGTAAAAATATTTTATACCATGAGCTACCTTCTTAAAAATATAGATGCTTGTATAAGGGCTGACATGGTCATAACACTTAGCAATTAACAAATGATTGTTGCTGTAACACAAGCGTTGTAAGATACAGTATTCAGTACAGTACATTTTTGGTGTGTATTAGATATATTAAATAAATGAATGATCTACATTCTCAACAAAAACACTAAAATTAGTGGTCCGATTTATATTACATAAGATTTTGTCATTCTGTAATGCTCAACATCACTTTAACGTATTCAGGAATTCAGTCGCAATATCCTCAAATGTCATAGCATCAATAATTAAAACATTTGAATAAAATAAGCAAATCAAATAAATCTATGTCTCTGGAGTGAGGGAGTTCAGAACACATATGAAATATAAGATGTGCGTCTCCTATGGGTACCTGGTCTAAATGAAGGGGAACAGACGCTTCTTAAGGATGTAGAGCACTGTAGCCAGAAATAGTGCCAGAGCCAAAAAGATGAGCAGTTTGTCAGTGAGCTCTCGGCGGTTGTACTTCGTAATGAGTTTCCTTCCCAACTGTATCGTCCCAGTCATCGTCTTAAACTCCTCATTGGTCTCCTGGACTGTCTTTGAAGAGGTTGCTTTGGACAAAAAGCAAAAATGCAAATATTTACTAATACATTCAAAGTGAAATTAAGTTTTTAAGGGCACATATTTAATAATCTGATAAACTATTTAGTTTCACTAACCTAGAGTGCTCACAGTCTCTTCACTTTGTTGAACTTGCTGTGCCATCATCCGGCTTATACTCATGAGATTTTCTGTGATGCTGCTTGTAGTCTGGGCCAGGCCTTCTTTGGTCATTTTTCTAATGCAAAACATTTAACAAATACATTAGGCCAAGAGTAAAGAGTTACTTTTGCAAGCACACAGTTGTTGTTTTTTTTTTTTTTTTTTTATTTAGACATGTCAAACTCCCCAACAGTTCACAACGATATCACATAGGACCAGCTGTCAACTCACCTCTGCCTCACAGCACTATCTCCCCTGTTAAGTAGAGCCTGCTTTTCCATATTGTCAATGGACAGTTTGCTAGCGAGGTTGGCTTTCCTCCAAGCTGTCTGGTTACTGCAATCACAAAAGCAGAGCAGATCAGAAAACTATAAATTGTGAAGTTGACACAGCAGCAGTGACACATGTTGAAAGAATAATCACTTTCTCACCTCAGCATCTGTTTTCTGTGGCCCTCGACCTGAGTTATCAAAGCCTGTTTGTCCGACTCTTTGTCCTGCTCCATTGCCATCTGCTCAAGGTCCTGTCATAGTGCACTTGGTTACAGTAGGCCTATATTACTAGAATCGTAGACTGGGTAAAGATGTATCACCTGAATGCGCAATCTGAGGTTGTGGAAACTCTTTTTTACGTCTGTATTCAGTTCTGTCAGCCTGCTATGGGGTCCATCACAGCCAGTAATGTCCTAGCAATAAGATTTAATTTGATTTAGTTTGTTAGTTGCATTACATTACATAAGACATATAATGGAAATACACTATTAAAGAACACACAAGTTGCTGGGCAGAATACAAAGTCATGAAACATCCTCTCCTTAAAATCCCTATAAAAATAACAAACAGACTATAGTTTTATTGTAATATAGTAACAGCGGTGTCATACATCATCACCAGGCTAACTGAACAAGCGTGTAGTTATTTAGGCGAGAGCATGTTAACGCAGCGCTCTAGCACTTGAGATTCTCTAACAAAAACAATATATTTCTCCATGACAGCTCATACTATCATGGCATTACGAAAAGCTGTTCTTTAATCTCAGAGAACAAATCGCACCTGGATGAGAGCCTTGATTTCCAAGTCATATTTCAGTATTTCTTGTTCACATATTCGTACGTGGACATCTGAGGACGCCATGTTGCCAACGTAGACAACTACAGCTACGGGAAGCGAGAGGACAAAAAACATAACTATTTTTTGCCTAAAGTAAAAACTCAAACTTTTTATTTTTTAATTACTAACTATACAAATAAACCTGAATCTGTTTGAATAAATAAATATCAAACTACAAAACACGTTTTCATGTGTTTATTAGTTTACAAACAAATCACAATGAGTCCATTCTAAGCAGGTACACATTTGAAAGGGTCACATATAGTACATTACAGCAACAAGTCACAACTTTTAATTTATATTAACAACAATACACACATACACAGCAGTGTCTTATTCCAAAGTGTCGGTTGCGTTCCACAAATGTAAAGCACATTCGATGAGATAAGGCCTCAGTTTTCTGGATATAAATTTAAGGCACAACAAATAAATCCTTATTGAAGGCTGCACAGTTGGAATGATGAAAAGGTTTCTGCCAGTACCAGACCTTTCTATCCTGTTGGAAATTACAAAAACATTAGATAAAGCAAGAGAGGTAGAGCGCTTCACTGGGTCTTAGAAGAGTAAAAAATAACAGTACAGGTGCTCTACGAGGGTTAAGACAGTGGTCTTAGTACAGAAAATTACCCTTAGAGAAAAAATTTAAAATGGGTAAGGTACAAACCCGAGGCACTCCGACTGAGCATATTAAAGTCCTTTATTAAATGAAGGGACGAAAACACTATTTTGTGTTTTTTTTACAAAAACATTATTTTGGGAGAAGCATTAGAGCAATGCATGTGGTTTAAATAGCTACGCACCTCTATGTTCTACGGCCAGCGATAACTGAGATACATGATGATATCGGTCCGCAGGGCAGGTCCAAAGAGTGGATTTAGTTGAGCCAAAATTGCAATAAGCCAGCTGCAAAATACAACATACAGAATATATAGACTGAAAACATGAACACTGAGGACGAAATACACTTTATGTGACTGGGTTTGAAACAATGAACTCTACTTGAATTCAAGGGAAAAGTGACCATATAATACTCTTTATAACTTATATAAATCTGTACATTGCAACATTAATATTCACACTTAGTGGTAGGCTACTGAGGCAACATGACAGCCAGTTAGTGCAGACACCGCATTTATAATGTAGGCAACAAGATCTGAGCCAGTGTGCCCTGTGTGCTGTCATGCTTTAACCATGTATCCTTGTATCCACTGCCCCCTTCTGTCTGCTTAACAAGGAACATGACTCAACTCCCTCATTTACGTGTAAGTGAGTTGTAAATAATTTAGATGTTCATTGAAATTTATACAGGTTATACATAAGACAAAACTGACATGCATTTGGCACACACTGTATTTACAATTGACTTCACATGATCAATTGAAAAATAGAACTCAATACTTACAACAGATAGCAGCAGACAGAAGTTAGAACCAGCATTGTGACAATAACCCTGAAATAAAAGAGAGAGAAACAATTGTTATCGATTATTAAATAAGAACTATAGCACGTCAGTATGACAAATTGTCCAAATGCGTTTGGAAATGGGAAGTGGAAGGAACAGAAGCTATATTTTTGGTTGCACTTCAGTCTGTGTATGCCATGTTTTTACAGTTTGTGTCATGCCAAAATTCTGCTAAAACAAAAATTAAATAAATCCCCTGATCAATTTGTTTGTTTAGATTGTGTTCAGTCGTAAGTTTATTTAGAAGTGAATGGCTTAGAAAGCAACACATAACAACAGAACAACAACTTTATTAGCTTAGCATTTGAAAGCTAGTGAAAGCTAACAAACTCACCCTCTGTTCGGTCCTTTGGGGATGAACCAAGGTACAACTCCGCCGACGATCCCCCAAAACAGAGTCATTACACACATGGAAATAACAAAACTTAGCTCCGCCATGTTTAGATTTGCGAAAAAGAAGATTTGTCAGCAATTATCAAACTTTAAAGACAACTTCTGCGCTCACTTCTGCTACACGACGAAAACCTCTCCTATCACATGACCAGTCACCAGCGCAGAGGAAGTGAGAGGTGGCTCATGTTCTCCTATGGCATATTATGTAAAAAAAAAAAAGTAAAGATGGGTATGACCAGAGCACATGCGCCTCTTAACTTCTAGGGAGTGACATAAATGTTATAGGTATAAGTTAACAAAAGCTGAAAATACAAAAATTAAACTTCAATAAAGGAAAATAGCAAAAAAAAAAGTGTAATAGCGACACTTGCTGGCCATTATGCAAAACTGCACAAGACTAGCGTTGGAGCTGAATGAGACTGTAGATTCTAAACAGTGTTTTTGACAGTTACAAAAATTGTGACATCTAGAATTTACCTTCGTTTTGTACAGTCACACACTATTTGCATTATAGCCCATCTAGGTGGGGCATCCAGTCACTCTTAACTCTCATACTGTCATCAACATTTAAGAGACAAAGTTTATATTTTTAAATTTGGTACTTAATTTAGTTCATTTTGAGAGTGGCCTTCAAATATTAAGGGCATTATAAATATTAGCCTGCAGACAGTCATTAATAACCATATTAAAACTGGCCATTGTATAAATTACATCCTTTTATGATAACCAACGTCATAATCCAAGTCAGCATGAAAAAAAGAGCCAAACAAAGTCAATTTATACAATTTATTGAAAACGTGTTCACTCCTGCATCTTCTCAATGGTCTCCTCCTTGTATTTGCCCTTCTCCTTTCCATCAGCGCGAGACTTAGCCTTGCGCTCCAGGATCTTCTTGCGGTCCTTGTCGAGTTTTAGCCTGGTGATCACCACCTGAGGAAAAAAAAAAAACGGTTTAAAAAATTAGGTTTTGATCATTGCTGTGTTTAAACATGTGGACTTTGATAGACATTAAACCAAGTGTACGCATTAAATCAAAAAGCTCTGCTTCATTCTGGCCTTTAGAGTTGTTTACATTTCCTGCTTTCCCACAAGTCGTTAAACCTTTACAGCGATGTTTACATTTTGCTCAAGTATGTTTTATATTGCTTCCTGGCTGGTGCAGCACTGCATAAATCACAGGACATTAAAAAATCCAATGTTCCTCTAAATTAAATGGTCTTTTGACTCAAAACCTCATACTACAATATCCATTAAGACATGTGCCTATATTAAGTTTCAGTATAAAGAATCAAAAAGCAGTGGCTTTATTAAACATGGAGATGAACAAAGGCATCAATCTGTAAATTGTTTGAGTAAAAGGGAATTGTCCAAGCGTATACATGAAAAGGCCAATATGCATATAAGATTAAGAGCTGCCTCCAACATTTAGTCAAAAGCATCAGTGTGAGAGAGCAGTAAACAATCTTTTGGAGAGAAAAAATGACTTCTGGTGGTTCAAGCAACTGTTAGGATTTTGGGCTATACAAAAATGAACTGACATAAAACACTAAGGGTAGGATAATAATGCCCATAAAATGAGAAGACTGGGTCCACAAGAACAAGATGAGATCAACAATTTACCATCTAAATTTACCATCTAAAAATGTAAGCTTGAGTTCACAATTTGTATTTATTTTTGCTGCAACAGAAGCACTGCTTTTTGGAACTACACCTTCTAAAGAACTTTAACTCTCTAGCACTTTGTCCAATCCAAATGTAAACATGGGAAACATCTCAGATCATTTTTCTCTTGTGTGAACAATGTAGTGGTAATTTTATATCACAAGTTCTTGTGTCACAAGGTCTTGTCCCATCTATAGTGGTGTCTGATTACTGAGTCATGTCCCCATGATTGACAAAAGCATACACCAGAAAACATTGGTGCTAAACAGGCAAACAAAAGACAATACCACTGATTAAGATCTGCAGAATTTAGAGCTGATCCAAGTATTTAAACCATTGAAATACATTTTAGGTTACAGTTTGTCAGTTGAAGAGAACAAGAATCCGTACCACTCTAGATAATGATAAATACAGGTTGACTAAGAGCTGAATATCTATGATAATGCACAATCTGGGCGATTCTTAAATTAGTATTGATAAATTTAAGCTGCAGTTTAAAAACATTACGCTGTGTGAAATGGGGGCTCCACATAAGGTATCCACAGCCCTTTTGACTCTTGTACCTTTATATTGTAAGCAGGGCAAAGTCATTCCCTACAGTGAGCACACCATGGTTGTGAGCTCCAGGTCTCTCTTGTATGAGCCTCAATTGTATGGTTAAGTGTGTAAATAATTTGGATAAAAAAAAAAATCATAGATAATGCTCATCTTAAAATAATATCTTGCATATTCAAACATGTAAACAAAATAAATACATTAAACAATATACTTTGAACATAAGTGTTCAAAAGCAGAATACACCATTGCAAGTCTAATAGCCAGCGCTGCAAAAACTGTATCAAGTGCATTAAAAAACAGTTTTCACTCTTAAGACAAAACCATAAACCCCTCACCTTGCTGGGGTGGATGCCGACATGTACTGTGGTACCATTGGCCTTCTCTCTCTGGACACGCTCAATATAGATGACATACTTTTTCCTGTAGACCTGTACAACTTTGCCAATCTGCTGGCCTTTGTAGTGTCCACGGACAACCTGTAGATAGGAAACCAAGTATTTAAACATCACACTTGTCAAATGCACACGTTAATTCAGGTGTTAGGGCATTACCTGGACTTCGTCGTCTTTGCGGATGGGCATGGACCTCACATTGTACTTCTGGCGGAGCTCCTTGGACAGAGGGGAAGACATAATCTTCCTCCTGATGTGTGAGGGGGCATTGAAGTGCCTCTTGCGGTTCTTGCGGCGGGAGGACGTTACAAACGGGTTGAGCTTCATGATGCTACAAGGAAAATAACAAAAAAACTCATTCACGCTCACCTTTGACACTGGCATGCCCAAAAGACCTATGCATTGTTATGAACCAATGGGGCTTACAAATAACATATCATATAATATTTTGCAAGGTGACTATAGTAGGACAACGCCAGGTAATGACAGCAGTGGGGTGCTACTATGCTAATGCTAACAAACTAGCACAACAAAAAGACCTGTGAAAGATTGTGAAACTCCTACGTATAGCATTGAAATAATACGGATTTCCAATTAAAACAACAACAGTTTGCCTCTAAAAGTGCTTTACATTCGGGCCATAAACAAGAGAAAATGCGCCACACACTTGACATGCGGCTCCAGGAAAGACTACGAGGCTACTATAGTACAGGCGAGTGGTGAGTTTTTAAGTCATCTACCGAGAAATATATTATAATGCTGGGTTTGATTAAGCCGTCATAATGTTCAGAATGTATTTGTGCTTTCAGATGAAACTGACTATGTCATAAACAAAGGATGGATAACGATTATGTCTCAAATTCTCCGCCTTGATTTCTTACCCTGCCGATTGCTCCTCTATGGCCGGCGGAAAAGAGACTGAACAAGTACTTCCGCTGGCATTAGTTCACTCAGTTCTCGCGAGAATTTGAAAGAAAATATATAAGAAATGTGTTTTTTTTTCTTCAGCATGATTAACTAATTTTAATTAAACAAGCTTACTCTAACCGTTATAATAAAAAGCAAAACCCCAATTATTAATTTGTATTTTAATATTAGTTTAGCGCTTTGTACTACTTTTTTTCCTTTTTTAAAATTTGTTTTTAATATATCATTCACAAGTGCTTATACTGGATTGTAGAAGAAAAAATAAATAAATTAAAAAGTTCATAGTTGTTAGTGTCATTCTGACTAGTGCCATTAGATGGAGACAAAACGAACTGCACTGCATACTATCAAGTTCATGTGAAAACAAGTTTTGACTTTAACAGAGAAATTATAATAGATATTCAAAATGTAGGCTAATAACCGTGCATTTAGACCACTATCTACTGAACAGAAAAATAATTTATAGCAAACAAAAATGGTGCAAACGTTATGCTTGATTAAAGCGCCCTCGACTAGTTAATTCAAATAAAATAGCCTAAATAGAAGTGTTCTTGTCTGTAAACGCATCACCTGACCCCAGGGCTCTATGTCCATCCCCTGTAGCTCGCAGCACGAGGGGAGGTGTTTACACAAGCGGACCACATGCACACTGACTGAGCTCCCATGTGAGAGGCACAGAGGCGACCCCCTGTCCGGCTGCTCTCCATTCAAACTCCTGGCTCCGTCCGTGCATTGACCGAGCTACAGCGACACAGAGGCGCGCTGACAATCCTGACTGCCTGCAAAAAGTGATGCTGTCATAGCCCCCTTTACCGCGGACACACCGAGGTTTGTTCCCCTCCCGTTGGTCTCTCTCCCCCCGGCTGGGCTGGCTGTCTGTCACGGCGGCAGTGCGGATGTTGTGGAGCCGTCAACGCAGAGCTCCTCATCCAGCGGCCAGCAGCGGAGAAGATGAAATGTTTTTCCCGATATCTCCCGTACCTCTTCCGCCCTCCGAGCACCATCCTGTCCTCTACTTGCCACACAGAAGGTAGGGCGGGACGGCGGGTAAAGAGGGAATCCTGTCAAGGCGATTGGGGAATAGCAGCATGGATAGGAGTTGTACTTTGAGTGTGCGACTGTGACATGAATATATAACGTTGTTGTTGCGTGCATTTGGGCTCAGTGTTTGTCCAGAAGTTGGGTTGTCCAGCGGTAGTATGTGAAGTTATTTGTGCAATGCTAAGTGCTAAGCAGAGGTCACATAAGGATTTCTTGCTGTGACTTCAACCTTTTTGTGAGTGTGGCTATTTGGGGTTAATTATCTGCACTCCTATGGCTACTGTAGCTCCCCTAAAGCTGTCAACACACAGGCCTGCAGTGCACACTGCGTGGAGTTGCATATCCACATGAACTTTTCCCTCCTCACTTTTACTTTTCTGTAATTAAGTTGCTGTTGTTGTATTCACAATATCCTAGGTGTTAGACTTGGAAATTACTTTTATGAGCTTACTGCACCTAGTTCTGTTTTGTATTCCAAAGCATAAGGATGGTAATGTCAGGTAGTGTCTTCTTTCACAGTGCCCTATAGTTATACATGAAAGTTTTTGACATAAAACACTAAGGGGTACTACTGCAACAGTCTTCTAAATA